TTGAAGAGTTTTGCATTGATGGTTGTCCCAGGTGCCATAAATTCGGTCATCAAAATGCCTCTTCTGTCCCAGAAAACAGTTGCCATTCTTTTGTTGGTGGAAAACAATTGTTTGAATTTTTTGGGTTTGTTTGGAAACGAAGTGTGCATCCATTGTTTTGACTGCTCCTTTGTCTCGACATTTTCGAACAACACCCATGTCTCATCCCTCGTCACAATCTTGTCCAAGAACATCTCTCCATCCTGATGGTAAAGCTGCAGAAATGTCAAGGCAGTGTCCATCCTTAGTCTTGTGATGGTCTGTGAGCATCTTAGGAACCCATCGTGCACATAATTTGCTGAACCCAAGCTTATCTGTTACAATGGTATAACAGCGTGAACCTTAAAATTTGAGAAAACTCTTCCCTGAGCTCAGAAATGGTGAACTTCCTTGCAACAATTGATCCACTTTGTCCACCAAATTGTTGGTCATCACACACTTCCTCCCTTGACTGCCCCCATCATGAACATTGTCATGTCCTTGTTTGACTTTCCTACACCATTCACACACACATCTGTAGCTCATTAAGTTCTCACCATACACATTACACATACTTTGATGAATTTCATCTCCATTCAACCCTTTAGCCTAAAGAAATTGAATTACTGCTCGTACTTCACAGTTGGCAAGAGACTGAATTGGCAGTGCATTTTACATGTTTACTGCACAGTAGCAAATGTGTAAAATAGCTTGGCATGACACTAAGTGGTGAGGGAATATACTACTCTCTAGGGGCACACCCTGTCCCTGTCTCATATGCTTCCAATTTTTTTTTCATGCATTAATGGAGACTGAAAAAAATAACCCTTTTATATCAGATTGTCATGACTTATCATCTGTAATTTTGCTGGTTTAACACCAAGATTTTCTTACAGTTTGTTAATAGTATGCATTTATATTTCAAACAAAACAAAAAAGTAAAATAGCGCACACACACACACACCCACTTATCACTAAATAAAATCAAACTTTAACAATACAATGACTACACTGTAGTCACAACCACAATAAATTTTCTTTGTGGAATAATATTTCTGTTATGGTAATAACCTCACAGTTTGAGAACCACTGCAATAGACCAAAAATGAAGCCACCAGAAAATAAAGTAAGTCAGAACAAATTATGATTAGTTTCATTTCTTTATAATTATTTATTTGATATATAGAACATATTACATAAGTAAGTTATAAAAAGTAACATATTTTTAATTTTTATATTTTTCAGATAATGCATTTTATTCAAACTGAATATATGAAACAAAATGCAAGTGCAGACCAATTCTTTCTATGTATAAACCAAAAACATTTATACAATTATCCCAGTGCTTCATGAGGTTAAAACACTAGTTTCCTAAAAGTCTGTTTATTGAAACTTGAGCCCTGGATTTCAGTTCTTTGTCTATTTGAAACTTCTTCCCACCAAGAAACTTTTCTCATTGGGTCAAATAAGTAATAGTTGCTAGACACTAAATCAGAGCTGTAGGGAGGATGTGACAAAAGTTTCCAACTGTATGCCAAAATGTTTTCTGAAGCCTTCTGTGCTTGCAGCCAGATTGCTGCTCATCACATAGGCTTGTTTATCCTTGTTTCAGCATTTTGCATCATTGTCAAATGTTGGAATAATTTATGCAATCTTCAGAATACACTTCCAACACTTTGGCATGACTTTGTAATAGCTCTTGTCTTTTCATTCAAAATAATCACACCATAACTAATCCTCTATAGTGGAAGATTTAATAAGAGATGACATTTCAAATTACCTATATTGCTTACCTACAAGTACCTGGTGAACAATGCTATGGGAGAGAAAAAAGTGTACTTTATGGCCTGCTATTTTTTCAAATCTGAATTAAAATGAACACAATAGAAAAAGAAAAACATTATTTTTCAAAACTCCCTTGTATTAAAGCAATATATCAATTATTTGTATTAAGTGATGTACTAAGAATATTTAACTACCAATTATTTTATTTTGTACTCATTTAAAACAAAATGTTGCTAATTTATATGACTGCTTAAAATATTAATGTAACTGATGTGGCCATCTATATCAAATAATAAGCAAATATTAAATAACATTTTATTACTACTCTATGAATGTAAGTGCAGAAAAAACAAACTTTAAAAAAAGGCAATATTCTTCCTAGTTAATATGGTTAAAGTTACAATCTCAAAGACTCTCAAAGTATCCCCAATGGATTTAGAGAATAAACATCATTTAGAACACATGAAAACTAAAAGATGAAATTTACATAATAACCCACATTCCAGCAGTAAAGTTCAATATTTACATTGTAGAACAAATGTTTTTAGTGGACTTAAATCCCATCTTCAAATTGTAATGCTTGATAGAATTATTTAACCTGAAGATAGTCTTTTAATAAGACCAAAAATGTTCATTATTAAATAGTTTTGCAGCTTAAAATGTTGTAAATGTCGAATTGTTGTTTTATATGCAGTCATTCATTTATTTGAGTTAATAAGCAAACTTAACATAATGTGCACTAACACAATAAATTTTTTCGTATAACACAACTTTTTAACACAAAATAAATTTTAAAATTAACTTTAAATACTTTTTACCTTTTAAGTTGACTGTTTTTAACACAAACTTTATTCATATAATTCAACCAAAAACTATGTAAGATTTGTTTTCATCAAATTCAAACACCTCTTTACTATGTACCTCATCAGATACAGTCCTTGAATCTAACAATTGCTTATAAAAGTAATAGTATTTGTGAGATTCCAACATTATGAAAGAGTTTAAACGCTTCTTAATATTGGCCTTTTATCCTCTTTCACACGTGAAATCTGGAACAATGCATTAATATTAATTGGAAGCCATTCTTTTTTACCCCATTTCAGTAATGTGTGGAAGCAAAAGCTACCTAAAAAGGTATATGAAATTTCACACATTTTGCATGTAACTTTAATCCTCCTAAATTCTCCCTGATTAAAGAAATAAAGCTTGTAAATTTTCTTTTCTGCATTGGTCATATACAGTATATGCATGTCATTTGAAACTGCAATACTCCCAAACCTAAAATTCAGTTAGAAAAAGGAAAACATTTAATTACAAACAAACATTTTCAACTTTTACAAAGATCATTCTGAAATTCTACTGGTAGAACACAAATTTAAATAATGTTCAAATCCATCCAATGGACAAAGAGATAATAAATAAAAGTATGTCACACTAACCTTGTATATCTTTGCAGATAATATTTAGAACATAACACTAATGTTTTCAACCCATTTCTATGGTCTTCTTCAAGTGTTCTATAAATTTTTCTGGTGCAATGTGAGTTCAATTCTGATTTTTAAGCGTTCCAGTCTCCAATGCTTCTATCTTCAAAATGTATTTTTTAAAATTTCAAGATTTAAATCTTCAAAAGATGTGCACCTGTGCCTGCTGTTATAGCGTCACATCATAAATAGCCTGCCACATGCTCTCGATAGTTGTTTTTCGTCTTTAAAATTGATTCTCAGAAAAATTTATAGAATACCCGAAGAAGACCATAGAAATGGGTCAAAAACATTAGTGTTACGTTCTAAGTATTATCTGCAAAGCTATACAACATTAGTGCAATATACTTGTATTTAAATAATGTTCATTATATATCAGTGTTGCATGTACAAGAAAGCAGGAATAAGTTATAAAATAAAAATGACTACAAAATAATATAACACATACAAACAGGTTAAATGCTTATAAATACCATGATTCCCTGAAAATAAGACAGTGTCTTATATTAATTTTTGCTCTCAAAGATGCATTAGGTCTTATTTTCAGGGGATGTCTTATTTTTCCATGAAGAAGAATTCACATTTATTGTTGAACAAAAAAATTCCCAAGTTTAACTTAAACGAGAGTGACGTATATCTGGTCATGTCGAACTGAACTTATGAAATTCCCGTGCTGGAGTGGACTTCCCACTCTCGCTTCAACTTAACCTTTTCATAGCGTCGACATCGGGCTTGATGATCAATTAGTGCTTACTGAACCATAGCACTATGCAAATCTATGATTCCCAAGCCAAAGTCTTATGCAAATCATGCCGTGTAGCGTGATTGTCTGCTGACCAATCAGTGGCTGTACTTTCAAAAAGCCAACAGCCACTTTCAACCATCTGTCGATGACCGTTACGACTAAAAAAAACTTTGCTAGGTCTTACTTTCAGAGGGACTTCGCAATTCAGCAAAACCTGTGCTAGGTCTTATTTTCTGAGGATGTCTTATTTTTAGAGAAACACGGTAACAAAAGGCCTGTATAATGTGTTGTATTCTTTTGTGATCATTTTTATGTTATAACTTATTTCCGGCATTCCTGTGCATGTGACATTTGTATATAATGAACATTACTTAAATTTGTTTTTGTTCGATTTGTGTTCTACCATTACAACCTCAGAATGGCTTTTGTAAAGGTTGAAAATGTTTGTTCTTCATTAAATGTTTTCATTCTTCTAAATAGATTTTAGGTTTGGGAGTATTATATTATTATATATATCTAGTTCAGGAGAGGTTTTTCTATTTGAACTACAGTAGAAACAATATATGTCCATTTGTAAACAAAATGTAAATTAGATGCTGTTTTTCTTATTTGTATATGGGCCTTTCACACAAAATATTATTTTGTAAATAGTAGAGCTTGCAATAAGTATTATTATGACATTAGTTCAAATATCATAAATTGGGCTCTTATATCCATTTGGAAATAAGCTTCCCATATAAATTTTAGTTATTCAAATGCAACTTTAAAGTATTTATTAGAATAGTTTTAAGAATGGAAATTTTCTAACATTGTTTATATATAATCTAAAGATAGTTGTAGTTAAGTTCAAAAATGTTTCTTTAGTTACAAGTTACAGGATCTTTATCCTTTGTTCCTTTTCATAATATCAAGAGATTTTCTTTGATATCTATAACATTTAAAATAGAAAGATTATCTAACACTCTTACCTTTCAATGAATTTTCTAAACACATCTCCTCTCAAATGGTTAAAAATTTCTTCTATATACGGCTATAAAAAATATGTATTGATATTATAACAAAAAAATCTTGAATTAAAAAAAACTGCAACTAACCTGAAATAAATTGACAGGAACTTCATTTCTCATTAAATACTTTTGTACATGACTTACTGCTTCCTTTGAGTAATTCTATTATGCAATAAAACAATATCATATAAAATATCTGTTTTCTTATAAGCAAGGTATATTGCATTCTATGAATACTACTAAGAAAAATAACCTGATAAATAAAATCCTTACACAAGCAATGCAGTTATAATAGAATATTCAAACTGTCAAATGGTTCAAACTGTTATCCCTCAAAATGATTTTACTTAAAACAACAAGAGAAGTCTTTTTTAGAGATAAAAACCTAATTAATTAAAAGCAAATAATATATCTCTAAAAAATTTCAAAATAACAGCAATGAATAATATAATAAAATGAATAGAATATTAAACTTTTTGTTTAACTATTAAACTTAAAGAATATTAAACTTAAAAAAACAAAAACAAATAGTTTAATGTACACTTAAAAATAAATCAAAATAAATAAACAATTTCAACTCTGATTAAATTAAATCAAATAATCTAGTCACTTTTATTCACATTTTTTATAATATGAAATAAAAACTCTGAAACAGAAACTATTTCTAGTTATGTAAATCCTAAATCACACCAACCAAATATATGTAAATCAAATCAAAAACAAAACAAATGCATAATATAAAAATATACTCCACCATTTATAATGTCATTAGGAACGGCAAATAAATTATAAGTGTTCATAAATAAGAATTTGTTACTGTATACACTCATTAATGATGTTCAAAAATTAAAAACTGTGATAGTTTTTCACCACTTCCATCTTAAAGATAGACTATGAATTTAAAACAAGAAAGAATTAATTACATTCTAAATGCTTTTGTGTGTTACTTTCATTAAAAATTTCTATTCAATACTACAAATTACTTCTTATAAATAAATGACAGTTCAATACAAATACATACATACGTACAGTGTCTCAGATCACCCATACGCCCATTTTAAAATAAAATAAAGCGATTTTCATAAAATGTCCCAAAAACTTTTATAGAAAATTGAGTATGCTCTATCAAATGGTTTTATCTTTAACATCCCATGGTCGCTAGTTACATGCTATTAGAGAAATGGATCATCAGCATGTTTGGAAAGTAAATATTTGATATAACATTATTGGAAGTGAGATCGTAGGTCCTGTTTTGCTTAAAGTAAATCTGAATGGTGCTTTATATGCAGCCTTCCTGACCAATATTCCTGTCTTGCTAGAAAATATTCCTCTGCAATTATGCCTGGGCATGTGGTTTCAACAAGATGAATGTCTAGATCTTACATTAACAGTTGCCCATCAGGTACTGAACACTATCTTTCCCAACAAGTGAATTGAAAAATATGGTCCAATCAATTATCCACACCAATCACTTGATTTGCTGTTATGGATTATTATTTGTTGGGGAAGGATAAAAGACTTTCTGTACTGTGAACATTCAACTAAAAGAAGTGATATCATAGAATATATAAGGCATTTTCATCCTTAGATGAAGATGAAATTCTTCAAGCAACCTAATTCCCTTGTAATCAAAGTCAAAGTTTGTATTGAAGAAAATGGGGCTCACATTGAACACTAATTCCTCAGAAGCACAGTCTGCAGCGATAGACCTATATTCTTATATCATGGCTGATAGAAATGTTTTCAATAAAAATGCAAGATTTTGTCTTGCATTTTTGTTGAAGATTACACTATTAGTAAAGATTTTGACTACTAGTGTAATCTTCATTTTCCCCTGCCAGTTTTCAGTTGTTATTAATTGTTAGTTTTATTTCTTTTTTCAAAATAAGATGTGATGAGTACTTCTTTCCTCTTCTCTGACTGGCAGCACAGTGTTTATACTGAACTCTATGCTGCAGCCAATAGAGTTCAGTATAAACACTGTGCTGCCAATGTTTGAAACTCAGCACAATTGTGGTGCACATGACTAATCACATAGTACAAAATTCTCTTCAATGACAGCATTAAAGTCTGGGCCAATTTTTTTTTCCAAATAGAAACATAGGCTACTGTTGTTGAATTTCGGTGTTAATTTATAGTAGATATCAATCTGCATAAATTATGTTATTTAGATTCACTTGGTCCAAAATACATTATCTGTTGAAATATCTTTGTGGTATTTTCATACTTTAAAATTTTAATAAAAATTAGAAGAAAAAATGATGCAAGTTTGATAATGTTCTTGGCTCATTTCCAAATTTGTTACATAAAGTGACTGCTGAATCTCCAAGATGACTTAGTGGGAAATCGCTAGTCTCTCCAGCCCTTCTTTTGCACAAATCAATATCCTTTCTCTTGCCAATGGATGGGTGACACTGTGATGATCTTTTGCAAGGTGTACAGTATATGTCAGTAATGATTACCCAATCTATTTTGTCACAAACCTCATGAACAGTCATAATTGTATCCAAAATATGGTATATAGCATATAATATCCTCAGATCTCAAAATTAGAGAGAAAAGTGAGGTTTTTATAAAAACAGTAGTGAATAGCAAGCAATCTAAAAAATAACAAGTAATAGTGACAATAGTGAGTCACTACTACAAACCATGGAATATGAAAAACAAAAAAAAATTAGGCTAGTACTGCCATATAACTTTGTGGGTTAAATGTTGAAGTGAAAATTGTGATTTATGAACTAAGTGCTCTTATTAGTGTACTAATAAACAAAGTAACCTTTGATCGTTTCTTTAAACTCTAAGTCCATGTAATCAAAATGGTGCTGGCAGTGAAAACAGTTGAGAAAGGTTTGCTATTTCTTTATATAAACAGTTAGGATGCTGTTAATATGAAAAATATATGCCACAATATTTACATGATCAGATCATGGTCTCCTTGTCCTTTTACAACATGATATACTGAGTTTCCTGCAGACATCTCTCAACATCTGATATAATTTTGTAGTCTGCACGACAACTATTTGAAAACCATCTGTATACAACTTTTTAGCTGCACAAGCAAAGCATATATTAAAATCATTTCACTAGTACGTAGGAGTGTCAAAGTAAAATACATGAACATAACTGACAGTTGGTATCACTCTGTTCACTGTTATAATTTAACCACATTCTGAAGATCCCTGATAAAAATTCAAAAAGTCAACAATATTTATATAATTACATAAATCATATAGTCCCAAGGATTATTTGCATATTTAAATAATAATCACAACACCAGAGTTCTTCAGAATGATGTTTACATACAATAGTGAACAGATTGAAATTATGAAAACTTTTAATAACGTGTGATGTTGTCATTGGATCCTACAAGAAAAATCAGCATCAACTGTATAAGAAATGTGATTTTATTTTAATGTCATGTTGTTGGTCATCTTTAAAAAAGCATTGTATTTTATCATCTAGTTGTTGACCATCTGATCTGGCTGGAATTTTAAAAAAAATAAAGATTTAAATTGACCCAAAATTGTCTGTTTGGTCATTATTATTTAAATATGTAAATAATCATTAAAACTATACAATTTAGTGCATCACATGTTTACACTAAATTGTACACTTTCTATATATTTAGTAGTTCTATATATTTTGCTAATGTTTATATTTATCCACTTATTTATTGCATACATTATTTTTCTTATTTATTATAAATACATAAGAAAAATAATGTCCACTTACAATGAACCTGTATGGACTGTCAAAACTGGTTCATTATAATTGATGTTTGTTATATCAAACAAGAAATGAAACAATCTAATTTTTAAAAACTAAAGTTTAATGTCTCAAAGATAAAATGTAACAAATTATTACATAGGAAATTACTTTTTAAAACATCAATATTAATGCACTTAAAAAAAATTTTTACTTTTGTTTGTGAACTTTTGATAGTTGCATAGCATTCTGTAATATACTGTATAGTTTCACTTCAGCAAAACTATTTAAAATACTTTGTAAAGTATTATGCATGTGTAAAAACCCTCAAATAACAATATTGTTTTGCAAAACTTCAGAAATTGGCATTATTGAAACATTGACACTGTATGCATATGTTGTATCATCATCATCCTCACTAATTTCATTATTTTTGGAAGATTCTGAAGCTATATCATCATCACTGATTAAAAGTTCCCCACTAAAAACACCGTCATCAACCCTGACATATTCTTCAAAATTGTAGCGAGAAAATGCATCCAAAATTACAGAGAGAGAAAATCTGGAAAACCTTTTGTTTCATCATTTGTAAGTTTACTTTTCAAAACTCTAAACTGAATTCTTCTCCACTAGTCTATAGAAAGTCAGATTGTTGAAAACAATTTAGTATTGTTTTCATTAATACATTTGGCCATGCTATATGGATGAAAGTTTATTGCATCAAGAAGATTTATAGAAAATGATCTTTGCTATTATCTATAGAAGTTATCATTTTAGAAAGGAAAATTTGCCAATAGCTGCACTTTAAGCTGTGTATAATCCTTTGATCTAAGGGCTAGTTTTGAAGTTGTATTGAGTGGCATGAACACCAGTGTAATGCAACATAAATTCTTAATGTTGGGATGCACTGGGCAGTTGTCAAGCAATAATAAAACTTTTTGTTCTTTTTTCTCAGTTCTTCATCCCATTCTCACAGTTCATCACAAAAAAATGTCAAAGGTCATCCAAACTCTTCGGTTAGCTTTGTACTTTAACATTAGCCGTCAATTTTTGAAACATCTTGGATTTTTCAATTTACCGATTACTAACAATTTTCTCTTTTCTGTTCCCATAAGATTTGCAGCTAGTAAAATATTAATTTTTTCTTTAGATAACTTTCCTCCTGTGCAGCTTCTCCTTTGAATTTTAGCATCCTATTTGGCATAAGCTTATCAAAGAAAAATTCATTTCATCAGCATTAAATATATCACAAATCTTGGAAATTTTCTCTAATTTTTGGCCACTTATTTTGCAACCAGTCTTCTACCATATCCATGCTTACTGTAGTTGCTTCTCCAACATTTTTTCAGCTTCCAATACTATGTCTTTTTTTTTCAATCTCTCAATCCAACTTCTACTGCAATTAAATTCAATATTCTTTTCCAATTTGCTTCTTAACTCTTCTGCTTTTGACTGCAATATAGTCCCACTGATAGTCGTGTTTTTACATGGGGGCTTCAAAAAGTCCATGGAAAAAGTCTTACTAAAAATTATTTGAAGGATTTGATTTCAATGCATTTGAACATTCTTGTACCAACGTGTAATAACATGTTCAAACATGAACCCTTAAATGCAGGTAAGAATGCAGCACTGCCAGTTGAAAGTCAGGCACCATTCAAGCAACATGGAATCCACCAAAACTGAGACCAGAACAAAGTTCATGGTGAAACTTGGTTGAAAGAATAGGGAAATCATTGACACTTTGGAACATCTTTATGATGATAAAGCTCCAAAGAAGTCTGTAAGGAACCAAGTCTGAGCTTTATTTTTATTTTACTTTTATTTTGCTTTCATTATATTTTGTTTGGGGCTTATGTTTAGTTAAGACGAAGGTTTCCTCACCATTCACCTTAGTAACTTAAAAATAGAAGAAAAACCAACTCACCGACGAAAGAAAAGCGCCGTAGAAAAACTCGCGCACACTTGCGCTTCCCAAGCGGAAAAAAGTAAGTCCGCACCGAGATAAAGGGGGGGGAGACCCCACAACCCAGTTAGGAATCGCTAAACCTTAAAATAATAAAGCATCCCGATAATTGTTAAAAAGAATAATGTAAAAGGTTAGCGAAGTATTGTCGGAAAATAATCTGCCAGATAAACAAGAAAAATTTAATGTTACAGATAAGTATGTAAATGAGGAGAGTGAGCTCATTCAGAATTGTGACGTCACCTCACACTATAAAGCCTCTAACTCAAGTGAAAACGAACGAGGTGAATTCCTGATAGCAACGAGCTTATAGCAGTGAACGAGAGAGAGGTGTCCGATAGGATTTTGAAGTTATTCGATTTGTGGATCGACGATTATAGAAAGTCTTGAGAGTTTGAGGAAATAGGTTCCTAGTATATTGAGGTGACGATTAGGATCTTTAATTTATAAGAATTATTGTTTATAAGTTAATTCTTTGATTTTGTCGAATTCCAAAGGGGAATAGAATTAAGTTAGAAATAGATTGATTTGAGTTTGTCGGATTGATTCTTGTTGAATTTCATTGAATAAATTATTGTTTGATTTTTACTAAATACTGTATAGAATTTATTAATAGAAGTTTAATTAAATATTTGATTTTGTTATTGACAAACTTTGTCATTATTTAATTCGGTGCACGCTTAAAGTCCAGGCCTGGCACACTAACGCGAATCCGCGTAAAGTACCCGTTAGGGAACGGCTGTTTCCGGCACACAGTAGTGTCGATAATCGTTGGAAAAGTCGGAAAAATAATATAGTACTTTACAAGTCAACAACCTACAAATGAATAAGTCACTTCAGAAGTGAAAAAAACAAAGTTGAATATGAGCAGTGGCAGGCCAACAACGTCAGTTTGTGAGAAAAACACTAATGCTATTCGTGACTTGACTGAAAAGGATAGACAAATAACCACTGAATCAGTAGTAGATACACTCAACATCTCCATGGGTTCTACACACACAATTCTTGTGAAGAGTTTGGGACTAAGCAAGCTTTCTGATAGATGGGTCCCTAGGCTGTTGTGCCCATATGAGGGCAATCTTTCAATGAAAATTTTGAACAAGTAGGATGGGGACTCTGAAGATCTTGAAACATGAAACACCAGTATGATCCCGAGGACAAAATTCAATCAAAGCAGTGGCTGTCCGAGGTGGAAGTGGACCAGTCAAAGCAAAATCTGAGCATTCAAGTGGAAAGGTCATGGCCACTGTCTTCTTGGATGCAGAGGCAATTTTGCTAGTTGACTTCCCCGAGAACAAAAAGACAATTACATCTGCTTATTATGAAGGCATTTTGAGAAAACTGTCCAAAATAAACTTGGAAAAATGCCCTGGAAAGCTGCATCAATGCATCCTCATCCACCACAACAATGCACCCGCTCATGGATGTTTAGCAAACAAGAGCTGTGCTATGTGAATTTTGATGGGAAATCATCTGATATCCCCCCTTATACCCCTGATTTAGCCCCATCTGACTTCTTTTTGTTTCCAAACTTGAAAAAATCATTGAAAGGTACCAATTTTCCATCAGTTGAAGATGTAAAAAGAGCTGCTCTGACATGATTCAGATCACAAGACCCTTAGTTCTACTCAGACAGACTTTAAAGGCTGGTATCAACATTTGCAGAAGATATTGACCTTAATGGAGCATATGTTGAAAAATAAACATCATAACCAAAATCATTTTTCACTGTCTTTTTTCCACAAACTTTTTGAAGCCCCCTTGTAAGTCTCTGTTGAGAAAACAATTTTAACAAAACTTGATCTAATTCATAAAGCGATGATTTTCTAAACTTTTTAGCATTTGAATTATCATGTTCAGAACTCACAAGTATTTTTATTTTTCCTTCCAAATGGTAGCAACTGTTGATTTAGTTTTATTCATTTTTTACATAATTTGGTTTGATTTACACTGCTTTCTAACTATTTAATAATTTCATATTTATTCTATAATGTAAATAACTTACATTTCTGTTTACACTAGTTAGTGCTTAGAGCTGTCATATTTCACAAAAACATCTGCACGATACTTTGTGATTCTAACTTAGCAAACAGTAAGAGTCAATATGCTTCAAAAATTACTCTTTTTGTTACACAGTACATTATTCTTTATCATCAATGTCAGTAAACAAAATTTTTCTAATCAATAACAGCATAAATTTTAAATTTTGTGTCACTTTGATTTTCAAATTCAAATTTGAAATACTGTATTTACAGTTAAATGAGTGGGAAATCAAATGAAATCATTTAACTGTATGTAACAAATCAGAAATAACATTTAAATTTTAAATTACAGCACTAACAAATGAAAATCCTCAACATTGTAAATTTCTAAGTTCATTGTTAATGAACCAGTAGATAAACCTCAGAAAATACTTTAGTGAAGTAAGAAAAATGATAGAGCAAATACAAAAATTTAAATTTGTGATGGAAAATTACATAAATAAATATATGCATTGAAAGTACTTAAAATCAAAAATACCCAAATTAAACAATATTTCCCATATTAGGTCATAACCTTTTACCTTTTGTTTAACCGTTTTATTTCACGCCCATTATATTACAGGAAAAAAGTTATTTAAAAACCCCAGTAATAACTCAAAAGTATTCTTTGTATGAATAATCCATTACAAATAATAACTTTTTTAAATCCAAATATTGTTCATTAAATATGGGCTCACTGTGACCAGAAAAAATAACATTGCTCTTATGGGTGTTTCATTTATACTTTTAAAATTGGTTCATTATAGCTGAGAGTTTGTTATAAGCAGGTTCATTATAAGTGAACACTACCATATTCACTTTTCATACATGTTATGTTATTTATAATGATGCATCTCGTTATCTTTAGATTTCAGATTTAATTTATAAATGTTTATTTATTTTTGACTAAAAAGTTTCTTCTTTGAGTTAGTACAGTATACCTTTATGACTATGTAACAAAAATCATATCACACATCAAATCAATCAATCAATCAATTCTGAAATCTTAATCCAGTTTATTAATATTTTATAAATTTTATCAATAAGTTTCTTGATAAAATTTAATAAATTTATGCAGAATTTATTAATGAAAGAAAAAGTTAAAAAAAATTGGCTGTTTTTCCTCCTCCTAAAAGTTTTATTGTTTTACGATTGTGGATAGAGAACAACAAAAATCATTTTTACTTTATAAAACATCTTATTTTAAATTTAAATGATTCAGCAATTCTGAAAAAAATGTTTTTCTAATTAGCAATTTTAATTAATTAAAAGCTTTAGTTTTCAAAACTAATCTTGTAAAAGTTGAAAACATTTGAAACATCAATCAATTAAAAACAGATGATTAGTAAACATTTCTGTAAGTTAATCAATTTTTGCTTATTTATCATTTTTCATATTGTACACACAATCTGTTACATGAATATCTGAGTACCCAGTTACTCAATTATTCAGGTAATGGTTTTCCATCTGATATCTAGATACAAAAACAAATATCTAACTTTTTATTTGTATTGAACTGAAAGCCCAATAAGTTACAAATGAACTGTTTGTTGCATGCAATGTCAGAAATGCCATAGTAGTAAGTTTTGGTACTAATTTTATTTTTCCAGAAATGTCACCAACACAGTTTGGTTATACAGTAGAGCGTCGATTATCTGAAAGTCAATTATCCAAAAGAATTGCAGTAGGCAAATTTAAATTTTCGCTAGTGCTGTGGCTCTGCAATCTTTGGCTATGTCTTGGGCTACTCAAATATTTTACGTTTTTGATACTAAATTAACATCTGAAGTATAATTTTTTATTGTTTTTATATTTTTCAATATATTTATTTTGTTTGTACAAAATAAAAAAAAAATTTTTAACGATACAATAGTCTTCGTTAGGCTTAACATTGACGAAAATTCAACGCGAAGCAACACGCAACAGAGAAAAATTTCAACATAGGATAGGTTAATATATTTTTTCGTACATAATCGGTTATCCGAAATATCGATTTTCCGAACAACCCCAGTCCCCAATTGATTCGGATAATCAACACTCTACTGTATTTTGACTGCTAATTCACTCTAGAGAGCATTGAATAGTGGTACTTTAATTATGATTACCTAACAAATCCTAGCAGTATGTGATCTTAATTTCATTTTTTTACAGTTGTTTTAAACTGGCCTATATTAGTTCCATCAAAAATTCAGTTTTTAAAAACCTATATCCTGATGTATAAATAATATTAATAAAAAAAATTTATGACTAAATTTATGACTTTATTATTATACATACATGCATATGAGATAATAATTCTCTCATGATAAAATTATCATATATTTCTCTTGCAGCTTGCCTCCGTTCTTCTACTGTCTCTAATTTTTCATACCTTTTAATCTAATTAAAAATTTAACAAAAATAACTGTATTATTTAAAAATACAAAAATAATCAAATTTTAAATGTCTACTAAAATCATAAATTTTGTAATAATCAAAAAAAATTAAAGTGTCTAAACTAATTTAAAAAAAATTAATTTACTGTTTTTGTTTTTCATAGAATCTTTCATAAACTTATTTCCAGCACATATATAACCACAATTCATTTATGTTAATTATAGTTATTAAGTAAATTAAAATTTTTAATAAATAATTTTTCAGTTTTGCTTTTTATCTTGTAAATTTTTAATTATACTTATCGCAACATATAATTTTATGAATTTTGTACAATAAAAACAATTATCAAGAATTTATAATTTTAATTTTTGTTTCCTTTAAATTTATTGCTATTTACACTTTCAAATATAAGTGTACATATTTATTTTAATACTTTAAAGAAATGTTATATAAAATTCTATTCCTACACATTCCAAATTTTTGTTGTTTATGTATAAGTAGTTTTAAATTCCTCACATTCCAGAACACTAAGATTCTATGTTAAGCTTTTAAGAACTCTATTTGTTATATTTCTTTTTTGACTACAAAATAACAATGGAATACAAAGCACCAATATAAGGATAATGAAGTTGAGAAACTTGGTTTCATGGTGTTTATTCTTAATAAATTAACACTATCAAACTGAGTTTCATCACTGATAATTTATTCCTTTTTCCATTTATACCTAAAGATGAGAGAGATATATTATCATTGAAAGTACTTTCAATAATATTTGTTTATTAACTTAAAGAACAAAATAAAGCAAATGTTAAAGCAAAAGGACAGCTTTTTACTCCTGCTGAATTATTTTGTCATGTGCTTTAATACATGTAGTATATAGTGATCAAAAAATTAAATAAAACTTTATGTCATCAAGCATTTCTTGCAGAAATATCACAGCTAAATAATTATTCCCTAAAAATACATCATGTAGAACAACATAATTATGTAACAAAATGCAAATTAATCTTTGAAAAATTAAATTAACCATGAGTAAAATTAATACTATCCTTTTCAAAAAATAAAATATGCACTTTTGCATTTTATAACATTAGAATAAGAATGCAAATTGAAAAGTTTTAGTCTCAAGAGTCCTGAAGATTCACACAGAACTTTCTTGACCAAGTTTATAAGTAGAAAGTAATATAATGAATACAATTACAAGGCCAAAATGGAAAAAATGCAAAACATTTTAGACAAGATCAGAGAATCTGCTAGAAGTACAGTTTTAAATACAGTGGTACCTCAGGATACGAAATTAATCCGTTCCGAAACTAAGATCGTATCATGAAAATGTCGTAAGGTGGATCATCTTTTCCCATACGATTACATGTAAAACCAAATAATTCGTTCCAACGCGAAAAACATACTCAAATTAAAGCCAAGTAATACATTAAAAAAAATAACTGTAGTAAGAAAAACAAATGAAAAATGCGAACTAATGTAACGTCGTATGGTGAGTTTTTGTTCGTATCGTGGAGCAAAAATATGCTCGAATTTCATGTCGTATCCTGAAAATTTCGTATGCTGGGGCGTTCGTAACCTGAGGTACCACTGTATTACCAAATACCTCAACATTTTACAATCATCAGTGCCAAAGCTTATGCAAACAACAGAGGAAAGTAACTAAAAAAATTCAGGCCAAAAGAGAAAATTTACAGAAAAAAAAAACTGTAAATTGGTTAAAAATGTAATTCAGAACAGGTTCAATTAAATTGCAAAGTTAAGCAAACTGTGGAACAATGCACAAAAGAATGTATCCACCAATACCATATAAAAATTCCAATCACATATTCAAGCCTTTAAATACCACTCAATTATACACAGCTAGGAACAACTACTGCAAAGAAAAGAAAAAAAAAAGCACTGGATAACTGAACAGTAGTCCAATATTCTGTTTTCAGGTGAATCAAAGTTATGTATCTTCTCTGGTAACAATAGTTCTTGTGTGGCAAAAGAACAACAAAACCTAAATTCCTCCTGCTGAAAGTTAAGAATAAAATTATCAAAAATTGCCATTGTGTGGGAGGGCAAGTGTGCTAAAAAAATAAAAGAATTGTGTAAGCAATTTCAAATTTCACAAGATCAGGATGAGAAAAAATGCTTAATTAGAAAAAGTAATGTTTCTTCTTTCAAATGTAATTGTTTAAATGCACTTGGTAATTTTCACAGCCAATAATGTTCTTATAAAAGAATGAAAATGTTACTGAATAAAAATTTAATTCAGTTCCCAGAATTAAGGCTTTTTTCTCATCTTTTTGGATATGGTGCCAAGTTCAAAACTTATTTTTGTCACCATCATTTTAAATTTTTATATAACACAACTGAACAAGAAGTCAAATTAAATCTAATTTCCCAACCACAAAACTCTTTTCATCCATTATCATGATCATCCTAGATCAGTGATTCTCAAACTTTTTCGATCCACCGCCCCCTTTGTTCCATAAAGTTATACCCAACGCCCCCTAACCTATTTTCTCTTGTGTGAGAAAAGGATTGGAAATATTCTTAGGAAAACTTTTTTATGAATCTTACACTTTGTGCCCTTACTGTACATTGTTCTCATCATCTGGAAACCATTAAACGCAATGTTTCCTCTTATCAGCCCCAATTGTGCCTTTGGTCACCGTTCAATGCCCTGCCTCTATCATAGATCTATTCATCGCGCCAGAAGGGGGCATTATTGCTTACTTTGAGAAACGCTGACCTAAAATAAAAGTCAATGTGTTAGAAATATTCAAGTTGTGACCTTCAATAAAAAATAAAAAATATATAAAATGTCAACATTTTATATATATTCCGTCGAATTTTTATATATAGAATTTGTCTGCCGTCGCCCCTCTATATTTCCTTAACGCCCCTCAATTCTCTTTGAGCCTTCTACTGCCCCCCTGAAAGCCTCCAGCTCCCACAAGGGGGCGTTATCGCCCACTTTGAAAAACGCTGTCCTAGATGATAACCAGCTGTATCACTACTTTTGACAATAAATAGCTATTTTCCAACCATGTACAAAATAAAGGAAAAATTTAAGTGATTTCAAGGAGGAAGCTAATCAAACAAAAAAATAATAAACACCACTACCCTCTACTGGTTAACTGTAGAAAACAAAATCACAAGGTTGAACATAGAAGAAAAAGGGAGAGAGTTATCAGAAAAAGTCATCAACTTTAGATCAAGTTTTCAGATAAGTCAAATATCCAAGAGCCATTGTGGGTGTCTGAAAAAAAAAATAAACAAATAAATAAAAAAACCTCCAAAACTTTACTAAACTGCCTAAATGGTATTACCATTCTTGATTACTTCAAAATTATACTTCACAATCAAAGATGGGATCAGATACAATGATCTTTTTCTCTCATCTAAAGATTTGTAAAAGTTTTATTTCTATTTATTTAGTATGAATAAATAATTTATATTTAATTTATTAATAAATATTGTGATTCTCTTTCAGGATCCAAGTAACACTCACATTCTGCCAAGGTATGTTGTTTAATTCTAAGTTGAAGTTTGTATAGATCAACTGTTCAAACCTGACACAATTTCCATCAAACAACAGAACTGCAAACCTCATGTATGCATAGTCAATACCACTGTGAATTCTCAAGTGACCCAAGAAATTCTGGAAACATTTATTTATATCATCATCATAAAAGAACTTTTTCAAAAGTGACAAATTCAATTTAACATAATCTCATCCAGTCATACAAATCAGCATTAACCACTACTTCTTGTCTTAATGACAAACAAATCTTGTTTTACCATGGAGAATAAGATCTCCAGGGTAAAACTTGAATTTGTTTGTCCAGACAAATTCCGTAAACAATTTGTGAAATATTACAAAGAAACAACTGAATAAAATAAAAATCCAGTCATTGCATTACCTAAAAGAGAAAATATACCTTGCTTGGAGCCTCACAATACTTGTTATCAATTCATAAAATTTAAATCACAAAAAATACAATTAAATAAATCCAAACAAATACTTTGTGTGTGTTTAATTTTACAGAAATATTTGCATTTTATTATGTTTTTATGATCCATTGCATGATTGTTTGTGCCACAACCATATTTGCAGGACCCAATTACTTATCTGCGATATTTCTGCAAAAAATTATTGACAATATATAAATTTTTATAGTAGTGTAATTTTTTTACTGCTACTTTTATATTATCCTTTAAGATTTTGGAATATTTATGTACAATAATATGTATAGTGAGTTGAAACCAAATATATGATGCATATGTAAATAAAAAATAAAAATATTACATAAAGGTTAATTTATATTATAAAATACTAATAAAATACCTCTTCATAGAAGCTGAGTTGTGACACAGGTTCATCACAAACATTTTCACAAAAATCTTTAAATAATAAATAACCTAAAATTTAAAAAATTTTTTAAAATTATAGTAACATATTTTTTTATATTTAAATTTTCAGAAATAAGCAATCAACTTTCATCATGTTTAATTGGAAGCAATTAATGATAAAAATATTAATAATTTATATTTTGTTTTACTATATCTTAAATATCATGAATCAAGGTTTGATTAATAACAAGTTTTGTTTTAATGTATATTACATTTTATTAAGTTAATACATCCTATTTAAAAAAATTAAAGTTAGAATTCTAAATTAATCTTTATTTGTCTGAATTTGTTCAGTAAACTTATAATTTAGTGTCCAAGTATTTAAATGTTGAAGAATTCCTTTTGTAAACATTTGAAAATTTTTTCCACATTATCAATAAAATTAACATGTAAAATGAAATACATCTAAATAAGATCAATTAACTTCCTCTTGCAAATGAAAATTTTTACCAGACCATTTTAATTCTACCCAGTGCTCTAAATAACAAAGTAAAGACAAGTAAAACAGCAAAACCATATTTGGGACAAGACTATGTCTTGGAGACAGAATCACTTTGATGCTTAAGGCAGGTCTCGTTCTCATTCTCCTATCTTCTTTGATATCACTGCTTTTGGGTGTGATCATTCAAACTTTCCCGGCCACGTCCACGATGCATCTTTGATGAAATTAACCTATCTAATTTCAAAATTTCTCTCCGTTGTGTGTTGGCCTGGGTTGAATTTTTATTGATGAGTAACGAAAAGTTCCCATTTTTGAAAAAAATAATTGTGGCTATTGTATCATCCGAAATTATTTTTTTATTTTGCACAAACAATATACAGTTTAACTCAATTAAAATGTCATTGAATGTAACGACAATCCTAATATAACATCAAATTTTTATCAGTGCCATGATTTTACTATACTAGATAATGTTAAAATAACCCACTTGTAATGACATAAAACATTTTAATGTCATATTTGAAGCACTACCAAATTTACAAAATTAGATTACAAATTTTATTTAACATAGAAGAAACTACATGTTCAGTCCTAAGGTCAGAGTTCATTTCTTAGAATGACTGTGGGTGGTACTCTCCCCTTCCTGACTTCGTAGGGTAAGGTGCCTGTTTTGCCTGTTTGTAGAAGAGTTGCCATTTTGTATTTTATTTTGACTCGATTCTCGGTCCCTGACTACCTATGAGTCTGGACTTTTTTATGCGCAAATGATTTGGGCACCTAATACTCTGTGCCAAATATCAACTCTCGACATGTACTCCTTCATACCTCTATGCTGGTAAGAATATCGGGAAGTATGATTTTATAAACAAGACATAGTCTTGTCAAAAACTATAAATGCTTAGTGCTTAGTTTTAAAACAATTTTCAGTTGAATTTCTTCACTTTGTTATTTAGAGCACCGGGCATTTCAAAACAAACAAAACTAAAAATTTTATATAATATTAAAACAAAGAATACTTTTCAATTCTCCCATAACTATTATTATTAAATATATAAAAAATCTTAAACTACATAAACAATAAATCTTCAAACCCAATTTTTAATTAATGCCCAACAATCTGCCTTATTATCAGGTTACAATAATGCTCATAATATGCCCGATAATATGGCAGATTGTATAGCATTAAACCTTAATACTGTGGATTCTCAATCTATCATTTTTGGCAGGACTTGAAGGAAAAACGACTAATGCAAGAAGACAATTGACACGAAAAATTTATGATGTCAATGTTTTTATTATTTATCTCATATGGAACATGTATTTTCCAGTGATAGGTTTATATAATGGTTTTTTTTTGTAATACTAAATAATATGTAGCATGCACATGGACGTTCGTTTATTCTACATTTTTTAAAAATTGTCAAGAATACTGAAATTTGTTCTATTTTCTCTATTAACCCTTTTTTTCAGATGGATTTCCTTCTACTTCCTCTATAATTTTCAATTTTTCAGTAGTCTTTTCTCACTTGTCCAGACATGATCTCTACTTCAAGACATGCTAATTTTTACCAGAGTTGCCAGGCTTTATGAAAAAATATTGCCAATAAAGTACAGTATTTTGTAAAGCAGTATGCAAAAAGTAGTCAAAAATTCAAATAAAAACTCATTAGCTGTACTCAAAACTGTTAAATTTAACATGCTTTTACTTTTAGTACATGAAAATCAGTGTTTCAATTATGTGCCCCCTACTGTGAGTAAAACGAATGATGCATGATAATATTTTTCTTTCAAAATAAAATTGAAGATAAAGTCTGTTTAAGAAGGAGCCATCATCTATTCACTTTCAGTGTTCTGGAACACAAACTTTTGAGAACCAACCTACTTGGCTGTCAAAATTAAAACTTTGTGTATAAAATTAAACACAGAAAAAATATCCTATTATAAACAAAAGTTTAAAAATCAGAACTGGTGATACCACAGACATCATCTATCCTTCCATCATTACCATTAAATGAGACATCAAAAAATGATTATATTATTTTATAATATCATTAATTTGCTTCCAAACCAATTCAACAGTATTATCTTACCTAATTTCTGATTAAAAATTTTATCAAATGTAACTTCTCCCATTTTTTCAAGATGTTTGTGCATTACACTACGAACACTGAAATAAAAAGATCATTGATATAATTAAGATATATTTGATGACAATAAAATATTAAAAGCTTTAAAAACAAAATCTAACATTTCTTAAGAAAATTTTCGTTTAATAGTTTTGCATAATAATAAATTTAAAATACTTATTATAATAGAAGTTAAAATTGGAAATTAATATAAATACAGTAGAGCGTCGTTTATCCGAATCAATTGGAGACTGGGGTGATTCGGATAACTTATTTTTCGGATAACGAATCATGTACGAAAAAATATATTAATTTATCCCATGTTGAAATTTCTCTCCGTTGTGTGTCGCTTCGCGTTGAATTTTCGTCGATGTTAAGCCTAACGAAGACTATTGTATCGTTAAAAATTATTTTTTTATTCTCTACAAACAAAATAAATTTATTGAAAAATATAAAAACAATAAAAAATTATACTTTAGATGTTAATTTAGTATCAAAAACGTAAAATATTTAAGTAGCCCGAGAAATAGCCAAAGATTGCAGCGCCACAGCACTAGCGAAAATTTAAATTTGCCGACTGGAATGCTTTCGGATAACGGACGTTTCGGATAACCAGCTTTCGGATAAACGACGCTCTACTGTACACTTTAAATAATTACATAAAAATCGAGCCAAACATACAATAACAAACAAATGATACTACCAAATTTTAATTGGACTATAATATAATTTATTAATCATAAAACATTTGTATGGTAAGCAGGAGTTGTGAGTTTAAGTCCTGCTTCAGATTTAGAAAATTCTAGAAGAAAACATCAATCAATCTATTTATTTCTAATTATTAAATTTAATACAAGATGGAAGCATAACCAACTATCTTTAGTCTGAATTACATATCTCCACAATTTATTAACCACATTATAGCCTGATTAAAATCCAGTAGTATCATTTGTTTATTACATAGTTTATATCTCATTTTTAAGTATTTTAATATTGTAGTAAATCATTACTTTTTCAGACTTAATTATCATTAAAATTAAATTTCTTGAAAGAAAAATATTTAAAGAATGAATTACTTATCTGTTTCAATGCATAAGTTACTATAAACAATGAATTATAGAAAAACAATTATATATAGAAAGTACAGTCAGGTTCTGAGAAATGTGGTGTTACCACCATATCTTTCCCAATGTAAAGTTCTGCAATTATTGATATAGTAAAATGCTAATTATCCAAATGATCATTATCCAAACATCCAGTTATTTAAACTAGGCAGTCCTTTCCCCCCACACAAAAAATGTTGTGACAGGTACAGTACCTATCACCATAGAAATAATACATGGGCATATGGGCACTTCTATGTCACAACACCTGTGAAGAAAAAATGCCAGACAAAGAATCACTAACCTGTAAACAAAGAATCTTGCCTTAACTGTTTCTAGAAAAATTCAGATTCACAATATACAAAACACACAGAATAAACTCATTGACAAAAACAGTGACACATCAAACAGTATAAACCCAATTTTTAATTTCCCAGCTCTGTTATATATAACAGATGGAAAGTATGGCAATCAATCAAAAAATGACCCCCAACATTCTTACATTTTTGGACTCAAGACCTTGAAACATCAAAAAATGTACAAAAATTTGAAGGATTTTGTGTGTGTATGTAGCACAATTTTTTCACTCTATCTGAAGCTTAATAACTACTGTGCTTTTTGTTGAAAAATTTCCGAAATTTTTCTGGGAGATTTGTGTATTAGAAGGATCAATACTATTAAATTTTGTGGTTAAAGGTTGATGGAGTGAGGAGATAAAGGGGGTGGTCATGTGTTGTATCTCGAGTAGGGTTGAACTTAATGACAATTTTACTCGTTATTAGCATTTAAAACTTTTTTATAAAACCCATCCCTATGGGGTACAATCTCTTTGCCAAGATTAAAGCAAAAAGTTTGAGTGACATTTAACAGTGCAGCTGAATGATAATTAACAGAGTAAGAAACTCCCTTTTCTTGCAAGTTGATTTCAAAATTATCTGGTATTCTAGAATAGTTGAAGAAACTATAAAAAATTTGTTTATAATTTTATCAAAGCCAGAAATCTTGTTATTTCATAAATTATGTACTTATCAACTTAAATATTTCCTCAGATGTAAGCATGTCATGATGCTTACATCTGAGTTTGAATAGGTCTATTCAAAATCTTATCAGATGAGTTAAACTGATTTCCTCCAATAGCCAAGGAATATCATGGACATTTTTATATGATATATAGTAATATTCATACAATTTTTCTATTTGAGTTTTATCAAAGACTGTCATCCTCCTATGAAATTTATTAATTTATTTCACGAAAACTTCCATAAGTATGTACTTGACATAAGATTACTGTATTAACTTTTAGATAATATATACAGGAAGCATAGGAAAGTCCCTTTAACTGAAAAATTCTTGCAAACGGAGAGAGCTACAGCTATGCAATTGAGGTAATGTTATAGTAAAGTGACTACGCCCAACCTAATGCAAATGACAGCAGTGCCCCTAGTGGTGAAATTTGGAAGATAGGCAGTGCAAATCGAAAATGAAAACAGATAGAGCAAACTTTCCACTTAGAAAGTTTTAGAGCATCAATTAATTAGTATGAAGCGACATGTGGTTCACACGGATAAGATAAATTGTCGCCTGTATACCCAAAAATGTCCGAAAGCAATGCACGCAATGTTGTGTAAACGTTTGAAAGGAATAGCTATAGGTATGAAGAAATACGCACAATTTATTGCATAAAATATGTACTTATGTTAATACAGTTTGATAACATCACACAAAAATCAACGGAAAGGCAAACTGTCACACAGTGATAACAAGTTAATGTCGAGTATGTTCAAAAAGTTTGCAATTGTTATCAAACTGTATTGACGTAAGTACATATTTTATGCAATAAATTGTGCGTATTTCTTCATATCTATGGCTATTCCTTTCAAACGTTTACACAAAATGGATAAAATAATGTTAATGGGAGCTTACCTAAAAGATGAAGCCCTGAATTGGTACATTGCACACTCAGACAATCAAAGTTGGGAAGAATTAAAACCAACTTTTGTGGGTAGATTCGGATTACAAGCCACTGAGCCTATTGTGAATTTCATAAGGTTAAAATATGACCAAAAAATAGAAATAAAAAATTATTTCGAAGTAAAAAAAAAATTAGGGAAGTTATCACAATTGAAAGATTTCCAAATAATATCACTAATGATAGAAGGGTTACCCTGAGGAACAGCAGAATATTTTGTAACTGTAAGACCAAAAACTTTTGTAGAATTTTATGAAATAAGCCTGAGAATCGAAGAAAATTTAAAACAAAAACAAATCAATAAGTCCGCAAAGAGTAATTTTGGTTACAGGACAGAAGAACTTAATTTGGAACACAAAAGAAAGCCAAACACTTGTAATATTTGTGAGAGTTTGGGATACCAAGATAGGTTCCATTGGGCTCGAGACTGTTGGATTAAGCAAAAATCACCTGAATGAAAGGGAAAAGTAAATCTTGCTGAGGTCGAAAACAATGAAGAATGAAGCAAAAGTAAAACAGTGGAGACAAATCGCAAGGATACAAATCATAAAATAGAAGAGACAAACGAGGAAAGTGTTCAGGAAAATGAATTAAATGAAATCAAAATCGAGGACACAATATAAAATGGCCAATTCCCTAAAAGTATTAATGAAATAAACGATAACGATACAAATAAAAATGGTTTTCAATATGAAAAAGGAACAGAAATGCCAATATTGAAGATTTAAATGGGTTGAAAGACAGAAATCGAAAAGTACAAAAAATGTTAAGAGAGACATTACCAGACGAATTATCCAATTCAGATCTGAATGTCCTTCAAGATAATTCAACAAATTTTATCTGTTTGACAGATAACAGCAAATGTTTGAGTAAATCAACCTCTATTCTTCTAACAGCAGGTATTTTAATAGGAATCATCGTCGGTCTGGTGACAATTGTAGGAATAATAACAAGATTATCTGTTTACATTTTCCACCATTGGAAATTACAAAAGAAACCACAAGACAAATCTAGATCCTCAAAAATGGATATAGTAGTTAGTTTTACAACACGAAGATCTGTCAAGAATCAATCTACAAAGCGAAAATTGAATCTATGAGAAGTAATGGAAGAAAATGATTCCCCTGTAAACACTTGGATCTACAAAGCGGGAGGATGTAAAGGTGTGAGTTATAAAAAAAAAAAACATCTGGTAACATCAGAATAGAAGCTTCGAGTTGTGAAAACAATGAAACAGAACTTTTGAGTAGGTGAAGGAGGAAGGACCACGTGTTAACGAAAGAAATCAAATGGCAGGAAAAAAACCTTACATATATAATTACCATTTTGACTTTATTGAAAAAGATATTCAGAATATGTCAGGTTGTTTATTGGCTCTACAAAATAAAATAAAAATAGATTCAATGAATAGTACAATGAATAGCTTTATTAAATCTAAAGTAACTTATTTAATTCCAGTTTGGGGTCTTGAATTTCTATCAAAACTAGAAAAAATATAAATTAAATATTTTAAAAGAATTTAAAATAGAATGTTCATTCTCAAATTCTACTCTGCATCTTGACCTGGAGAAGTATTGTCCATTGGAAGTATTGTCAGAGTCACCTACATATGACCTACACCAAGTTACTTACTGTTTTGCTGATAGAAGTCAAAAACAGTTAAAACTTGGCCTATTTCAGTCAAAAATATTCTAGGTAGCCTGGGTCACTTCTTTTTATTTTTGAACGAATCAGCTTCATTGTTTAAACTTATTAAGTATCACAATTCAAACCAAATCAGATCAGCTAAAAAACAACGAGATATCACATACTCCGATCAATCAATCCAATTTTTCCGAAACATGTATGAGACTTAAACCGTAAAATTTTCCCATAAAAAGCCTCATTATTCAACTTAGACTTAATAAATTTCAAATTCTCTTAGGGGATCACTAAATCAAAACATCTAGAGGTAAACCTTATAGCTATC